GCTCTTTCTTATATAGCAAGGTAGGCATGATGCTTCAAAATAAAGAACTAGTTGGAATAACCTTAACATTGGCTTTATTTGTTGACATGTGGTGCCTAGTGCTATCAGTGATCTGCTTTAGGCCTTGGTTTGCTTATATATAAAAATAAGACAATAACTGTTTTTTTTTCCATGTTCATCTCTAATCAATGAAGAAGTCACACAATGCATGCATTAAAGTGTTTTTTAGCAGAGGCAGTCTGAAGACTGTAAGAATGCAGAGTATCAGCTAAATGTTGGTATAGTTGTATTTTGATGTTCAAGTCTTATTCTAGTATTGCACTAGCTGCTTTATCAGTGTTAAATGTATAGTTGAGAAACAAGTCAGATCACATCTGCAGCTATAGTGGTTGAATCTCTTTATAAATATTACATGGGCATGAGTGATGCTTGTTAATTGACTGTTCTGGCATCTTTATACTTCATCTTTTCATTTTTTCATCATCCTTTAGATGTTCCACCACTGAAGATTTATTCATGATAATTCACACGTGGTAATGAGCCAGTGTGTTCTTGCCAGGTAAATGTAATGCAGGTTCTGACAGTTTCATCTTAAAATGTTTGTTGTTTTTCTGAATTATATTACTGGGTTACCAGTCATCTGTGTTTGTAGAAAGTTTGGTTCCAGTAATTTTTTTTCAATTCTGAAACAGAAGTATTGTTGATATAGTGTCACAAAGTTAATACCACCATTTGATATAGAATGCAGTACCAAAACAAGTACAGTTTATCATAGTGTGGGTATTAGATATAAAATACATAGAGTGATGCTGATTGCCTATTTAAACAAAGTTCTAAAGAGACCTTGTAGTTTTCTCATCTGTGTATATAATTTGGTAGGAAAATGAACCCTACTGTAGTGAAAAGACTCAAACTGACCTAAGTTCAAACCCAGCTCAACAACTTACTAATAATTGTGTGCTCTGAAACAAGTTAACTTTTTAATTTTTGAACTTGAAACAAAATTTACATATAATCAAAGACACAAATCTTAAGTATATGGCTTAAATTTTTACTGCATATATTTCTAAACATCACCCAAATCAAGATATCTATCACTTCTATGACCTTCTTGCCCCTTTCCAGTTGAATTTCTGCCCAGAGGTTATAACTATTCTGATTTTTGTTACCATAGTTAGATTTGCCTGTTCTTGAACTTGATATAAATGGAATCATAGAGCTTGCCCTGTTTTGTGTCTGGCTTTTTGTCCAACGTAAAACCTGGGAAATTTATCCATGTTGGTTTGTGTATCACTAGTTTGTTCATTTTTTTTATTCTGTCATATGAATACATTACAAATTGTTTTTCCAGTTTCTTGTTGATGGGCATTTCAATTGTTCACGATTTTTTATGAATAAAGTGCCTATGAATATTGTGCAAGTCTTTTGGTACATAAGCACTCAATTCTCCTAGGGGTAGAATTGCTGGGTCATAAAGTAGGTATGTGTTTAACTTTATTAGAAACAGCCAAAGAGTTTTCTAAAGTGGTTGTACTATTTAACGTGGCCACCAGCATTTTAAGACTATTTCATTTGCTCAACATCCTCACTATCACTTAGTATTGCCAGTATTACTAATTCTAGCTATTAATGTGGTTTTAATTCATATTTACCTGGTGGTTAGTGATGTTGAGTGCCTTTTCATATGCCTCTTGGGTATATTTGTGTCTCTACACCTGTTTACATTTCTACCTAGTCAGGTTTTGCAAACCATATACCATGAGTGGTATAAGAGAGTGGAGAAAAAATGGAATTAAGAGAGATGGGGTGCTATCTTGCTCAATAGTGACAGCAAGATATTTGGAAGTGTTTTGTTCTTTGGGTCACTGACTATATCTATTAGGGTGACCCTACCTGTTGCTAACCCCTAAAACTTCAGTGACTTATGATAGATTTACTTTTTTTTTTTGCCCACCTTGACTGTCTAAGGAGTGTATTCCCAGTAGGTAGGTTGCCTCTCAACTATTTACTTAGAATTCCAGGATTCTTCCATCATGTAGATCTGTAATCTTTGATACATGGCTTACGAGGTCTTTATGCTTCTCTTCATCAAGCTAGAGAACGGAAGAGAGTGGAGGCAGAGGAAGGAGGACAAGGACATATGGAAGATTTTGATGGGTCAGGCAAGGAAATGGCATATACATCTCTTTTCACATTCTACTGTTGAGAACTTAATTGAATGTAACTGTAAGGGAGCTCGGAAAAGTAGTCTTCTTCTGTGTGCCCAGGAAGCTGGGAATCAGCCAGCAGTCTCTGCCAATACTGATGAAATGATATGTTCTCAGGAATAGTCAACCGATTTCTGTATTAAACTGAGTCAGGACAAAAACTAACTTCTTGATATCCTTCAAATAGCAATGAATCTATGTAAACTTATAAATAAGGCATTTCTCATTCTTTTTGTGTACCCTCACAGTGCTGTAGGAGTTGGAGAATGACCATTAGAAGTACAGATAATGATAACTTAATGAGTCCATTATGTGATGGTTAAAATACTTTGTTGAAAGCTCTTTTCCATTTTATTTATTTAATATGTCATATTTATAAAATAAATGTAATTTAGAATAAGGTAATTACTTTGTCCTTTAGTAATATTTCAGGACTTTGTGATTTTAAAACTTTAAAAACCCCTTAAACCATTTTTTTTGAGACTTAATAGAAAATGACTCCTGATACTGTCCTTGCAGAAATGCAAAGCTCTTTGACACTTTCCCTTAAGTTTCTAAGATGTTCCTAATATGTTGGAGTTGCTGAGTCATTGCCCTGTTCTTCTTTTATTAAGTTCTAAACCAGTAAGACATAGATTGCCTTGAATCATCTAAGCCCTGGGTCAGCAGTCTTTCTAGCTCTTAAGAGTCCAGTGCACATCATTGTTAGAAGGAGTAGGGAGAAGAAAACAAGGGAAGAAAGAAGGGAACAGAAAGAAAATGCGTGTATGCAGTAGAGTTTATTAAGTTGTTCCGTGTTTAAGCTTTTATTGGCAAAGTATTGCTCTACAGCAGTCCTGTACTTTAGAAATACAACGTGAGCCATATATGTAATCAGTATATCCCAAATATCATTTCAACATTTTATCTTTATAAGAATTAGATATTATAAATTTTCTTTGTACTAAATCTTTGAGATCCACTACACCATATTATAATTACCTCATATCTCATTAATTTTTTTTTAATGTTTATTTATTTTTGAGAGAGTGAGATAGAGTGCAAGTGGGAGAAGGGCAGAGAGAGAGGGAGATCCAGAATCCGAAGTGGGGTCCTGGCTCTGAGGTGTTAACACAGAACCTGATGCGAGGCTCAAACTCATGAGCCGTTAGATCATGACCTGAGCCGAAGTTGGATGCTTAACCAACTGAGCCACCCAGATACCCCCACAACTCATTATAGATGTGGTTTTCATTGGAAATTATTTAGTCTTTGTAAAATAGACTTAATGTATTAGGATTCACATATGTACTATAGATATCCAAGTTGTTCCAAACATACTTAGAAAAGTTTCCAGTAGGTGAGACAATTCTCAGATTTTAATTTTAATTAGATTAAGAATTCAGTTTTTCAGTTGTACTAGCCATGTTTTAAGTACTCAATAGCCACATGTGACTACTGGCTTCTTGGTCAACAGTTTAGCTCTAGAGTATAGACTCAGTTTGAACTGAAAGCTCTAGGAAAGCATGAACTTCTCCCTGGCATTGAAGAGTACTTAAATATTTGTGGTTTGAAGATATTATCAACCTATTTTAATGTTAGTGGAGTTAGAAAGTGAGGCATAATAAATAAATTAATTGAACAGCTGGAGCGAAGCCAGGCTTCTTTTTCAAAACTTAATTGCTCCTTAAATTAGCTTTCAGAGTGCAACTATTTAGACCAGAATGGTTACACTTTTTGGAGGATGCCTCTATCCAGCCCAATGGCTATTAACTGGCCAAATGGCCTATTACTTGTCACAGGTAAACAGTTATGAGGGAAAATACTCAAGTGCCCTTTCTATAACCCACTAGTTAGGATTTGGGGAATATAAACCAAAGGAAAATGTAGTCGAAACAATTAAGGTTGAAAGTATGGAAAATAATCCTACATCCCATTCCATGTTACTCTGCAGAGGAAAATAGGTTCTTGTTATAGAGGCATGCACCTCTCATTTACCAAAAAACAAAACAAAACAAAAAACCACAAAAACAAAAACAAAACCAAAATCCCACAAAACCCTAACCTGGAAAATGTTCCTCAGTGTTAGAAAAGGACTCTTTATATTCTTTGATAGTGGGAATATTATACTCTAATAGGCATATGTTTTGTCCACTAATTACCCAAATTGTACTAGTTCAGTGTTCTGAAGATGGTTTCCTTTCACAAAGCCTTCCTTGATTACCATAGTTGAGTTGCTTCTTTCTTTCCTTCAAGTCCTTTCTCATGAAAATAAAATATTTTTATCATCCAAATACATATTTACAGTGCTGTGAATTGTTTCCATTGGATAAGTTTTGTCATGTCTAGCACAGCCAAGTCAGTGTTCTCATAAGCGGCAGTTGCTCAATATTTACTTGAATACACAGAAAAAGAGAACAATCCTGAAATCGTGGCTGATGAGCTTCTTAAGAACCTCTGACTATGGCCATGCTTTGTGTTGAGATTTCCTGACTGCATTCTGCTGTACTTGACTGATGGCAGAAATTCAGCTGAGCTGCCAGGTATTGGAGTAGTGAATTAAACGAGCCAAAATGAAAGTGACAGTCAAGCTTTTAGTCACTTATTGCAGTTAAATAAATAGGAGTCTAAACCAGAGAAAAGACTTCCCAGTTCCACTTCTCCCTATGGAATGGACTACAGAGTGAGGATCAGATGCATCAGCATGGATATTGAGTGGTGTTGAGTGAGCCACAAACAAAAGCCTTCTGCAGATTTATGGACTGTTGGAGGAAGGAGGAAGAAGGGCTAGGAGTGAAAAAGTATTCAGTCAGAATGAAGGAGTTTGCCTTACAGTTTTCCCATACAGGGAGACCTCCAAATGGAGTCACCTGGGCCAGAGTCCTTTACTGCAACAGCTTTCAGAGATTACAGTGTACTGGTTGTACCCCAAACTGGATGTGGGGAGGACAGCTTTCTCCTGTGAGGCCTGCCAGGTAAATCCTGTGTAATTGCCTGTGGCTGGTCCTGAAATGTCATACAGGTTTTTTTGTCTAGAAGCTGTACTCCTCAAATGGAAAATCACTTCTAAAGATTTTAAACTATTTTCATCTATTGCAGGATGTACATGTTCTTACTTTTTAGTATCAGGATGCATTTTACAGTTGATGCTAGCCAGGTAATAGTTGTGATCTAATTGTGTGAAACCTTCCATTGACACCTTTGAATAAAATCAAAAGTATCTTTTCCCCAGTGTCTATTCTTGCCTGCTGTGTTACAGATGAATTGATCATGTAAGTGTGGGTTTATTTCTGGGCTCTCTGTCCCATTCCATTGACCTATGTCTCTGTTTTTGTGCCAGTACAATCCTGTTTTGATTATTACAGCTTTGTAGTATATCTTGAAATATGGGATTGTGATACCTTCAGTTTTGTCCTTCTTTCTCAAGATTGCTTGGGCTTTTCAGGGTCTTTCGTTATTCCACACAAATTTCAGTATTATTTGTTTTAGTTCCATGAAAAGAGCTATTGGTGTTTTGACAGGGCATTGAATCCGTAGATTGCTCTGGGTAGTATAGACGGTTTAGTGGTTGTAAGCCTTCCAGTCTATGAGCATGGAGTATTTCTCCATTAGTTTGTGTCTTCTTGAGTTTCTTTCATCAGTGTTTTTTAATTTTCAAAGTACAGGTCTTTCACCTCCTTGATTAAGTTTGTTCCTAGGTATTTCATTCTTTTTGGTGCAATTGTAAATGGGACTGTTTGCTGAGATGTAGTATCCGTTTACATCATTTTATCCTCATAAACTACCTTTATAGGTGTTGAATTGGACACCTTATGTCTCCATTTTAGACCTTTTTAATATGTTCTGATCAGTTAGATTGAGGTATAGGGTATAGAATAGGAAGGGAATATAATGGAACATTCTCAAGCAAAGAGGCTAATGTCTAATTAATCTTTAGTGGTTATTACCCCATATTTTATTATGAGAGCTTCCCATTACTAAGTAAGTTATTTCTCAGCCCCCTGACAGGACTAAGTATTCTGTTATATTTTTCTGACCAAAGGCCCTTATCCTGTTAAGGTCAACATAGGCTAAAAACACTTGTCAAATCTCTGTCCTTTGTTTGTTTGATTTTTTTAAAATTTTATTTATTTTTTACTCTCATGTTTATCTTTTCTAGGGATTTTTTAAACCTCTAACTCTGCCAACCCTTTCTGGATATGACTTGAAATCTTGCTTTGTAGTTTTGGAAAATGAGACATGACTGAAAATGAAACTTGACCCATTTGGCTATTTCATGATCCTGAGGGAGATGTGAAGAGACTATACGTGTGAAAAGGACATGTACTCTTTGTCAGGATTGCTGTTTCATAAGCTTTGCCAGGGCAGAATAAATGAATTAAAGCACGGAATGTTTTCATGGGCTTTTGTAGGATCATCTGGATCCATTTCCTAAAATAGGACTGCTAAGCCTGTTCCAGGATAAGGTCTGGGGATGATTCTGATGATACCACAGTGGTGTTCCTCTTGACTCTAGTTTGTCTTCAGTGCAATTTGGAAACCAAATCCAAATGGTACATAGAAGCAGGAAACCAAAGGATCCTGAGGGACCACATGAAGAACATGGTGAGCCAGGACCCTTCTGTAACAGGGAGATCAAATCCTGGGACAATGGCCTCAACAGCCTCACCTGCCATGTCCTGAACCAGAGTCATTGGAATCCCACTGGAACAAAATGGACTTTGTCTTCCTTCATTTTTGTTACCCCACTTTACTTTTCCCATATATTTCTCCCTTCTAGCACTCACCTTAGCCCTGGGTTATTCTGATAAACACCCTTGCTTAAGAACCACTGGTCATACTTACTTTATAAAGAAATATCACATATAGATAGATGTATATTAATAACTTTACTGTTTTCTTTCTCGAAATCTGTTCGAATTATCACTGCATAATAAATTACCTCCAAACTAAGTGACATAAAACCATATTATTTCACCGTTTCTGTTGGTTAGGTTTCTGCATGTAGCTGAGCTAAGTCCTCTGTTTCTGGGTCTTTAACACAGCTGCTGTCAAGGTGTTACCTGGGATGTAGTCATCTCAGGGCTGGATTGGGCAAAGATGTGCTACAAAGCTCACTCAAATTTTTCACAAGATTTAGTTCATATCAGGTTGTTGGACTGAAGACCTCAGTTTCTTACAGCCTATTGATCAAAGGCTGTCCTGTGAGTTCCTTGCCATGTATGGCTCTCTGTAGCACAGTTCACAACATGGCTGCTAGCTTTGTCAGGGCAAGTGAGAGGGCAAAAGAGTATGAGAAAGACAGAAGTTAAAGTTTATTTATTTATTTATCAAATATATTTTACCTTATTTTTTAATATGAAATTTATTGTCAAATTGGTTTCCATATGACACCCAGTGCTCATCCCAACAGGAGCTGTCCTCAATGCCCATTACCCACTTTCCCCTCCCTCCCTCCCCCCATCAACCCTCAGTTTATTCTCAGTTTTTAAGTCTCTTATGGTTTGGCTCCCTCCTTCTCTTTTTTTTTTTTTTTTCCTTCCCCTCCTCCATGTTCTTAAGTTTCTCAGGATCCACATAAGAGTGAAAACATATGGTATCTGTCTTTGTATAGCTTATTTCACTTAGCATCACACTCTCCAGTTCCATCCATGTTGCTACAAAAGGCCATATTTCATTATTTCTCATTGCCAAGTAGTATTCCATTGTGTATATAAACCACAATTTCTTTATCCATTCATCAGTTGATGAACATTTAGGCTTTTTCCATAATTTGGCTATTGTTGAAAGTGTTGCTATAAACATTGGGGTACAAGTGCCCCTATGCATCAGTACTCCTGTATCCCTTGGGTAAATTCCTAGCAGTGCTATTGCTGGGTCATAGGGTAGTTCTATTTTTAATGTTTTAAGGAACTTCCACACTGTTGTCCAGAGTGGCTGCACCAGTTTGCATTCCCACCAACAGTGCAAGAGGGTTCCCGTTTCTCCACATCCTCTCCAGCATCTATAGTCTCCTGATTTTTCATTTTAGCCACTCTGACTGGCATGACTCAGTGTGGTTTTGATTTGTATTTCCCTGATGAGGAGCGACGTTGAGCATCTTTTCACGTGCCTGTTGGCCATCTGGATGTCTTCTTTAGAGAAGTGTCTATTCATGTTTTCTGCCCATTTCTTCACTGGATTATTTGTTTTTCGGGTGTGGAGTTTGGTGAGCTCTTTATAGATTTTGGATACTAGCCCTTTGTCCGCTATGTCATTTGCAAAAACCATTCCCTTGGTTGCCTTTTGGTTTTGTTGATTGCTTCCTTTGCAGTGCAGAAGCTCTTTATCTTCATGAGGTCCCAATAGTTCATTTTTGCTTTTAATTCCCTTGTTTTTGGGGATGTGTCAAGTAAGAAATTGCTACGGCTGAGGTCAGAGAGGTTTTTTCCTGCTTTCTCCTCTAGGGTTTTGATGGTTTCCTGTCTCACATTCAGGTCCTTTTCCATTTTGAATTTATTTTTGTGAATGGTGTAACAAAGTGGTCCAGGTTCATTCTTCTGCATGTTGCTGTCCAGTTCTCCCAGCACCATTTGTTAAAGAGACTGTCTTTTTTCCATTGGATATTCTTTCCTGCTTTGTCAAAGATTAGTTGGCCATACATTTGTAGCCAGTTCTGGGGTATGTATTCTATTCCATTGGTTTATGTGTCTGTTTCTGTGCCAATACCATGCTGTCTTGGTGATTACAGCTTTGTAGTAGAGGCTAAAGTCTGGGATTGTGATGCTTCTGGCTTTGGTTTTCTTGTTCAATGTTACTTTGGCTATTCGGGGTCTTTTGTGGTTTCATACAAATTTTAGGATTGCTTGTTCTAGCTTCGAGAAGAATACTGGTGCAATTTTGATTGGGATTGCATTGAATGTGTAGATAGCTTTGGGTAGTATTGACATTTTAACAATATTCTTCCAATCCATGAACATGGAATGTTTTTCCCTTCTTTGTATCTTCTTCAATTTCCTTCATAAGCTTTCTATAGTTTTCAGCATACACATCTTTTAAATCTTTGGTTAGGTTTATTCTAGGTATTTCATGATTCTTGATGCAATTGTGAATGGGATCAGTTTCTTTATTTGTCTTTCTGTTGCTTCATTATTAGTGTATAAGAATGCAACTGATTTCTGCACATTGATTTTGTATCCTGCAACTTTGCTGAATTCATGTATCAGTTCTAGCAGACTTTTGGTGGAGTCTATCGGGTTTTCCATGTATAATATCATGTCATCTGCAAAAAGTGAAAGCTTGACTCCATCTTTGCCAATTTTGATGCCCTTGTTTTCCTTTTGTTGTCTGATTGCTGATACTAGCACTTCCAACACTATGTTAAACAACACCGGTGAGAGTGGACATCCCTGTCGTGTTCCTGATCTCAGGGGGAAAGCTCTCAGTTTTTCCCCATTGAGGATGATACTAGTTGTGGGCTTTTCATAAATGGCTTTTTATGATGTTTAAGTATATTCCTTTTATTCTGACTTTCTCGAGGGTTTTTATTAAGAAAGGATGCTGGGTTTTGTCAAATGCTTTTTCTGCATCGATGGACAGGATCATATGGTTCTTATCTTTTCATTTATTAATGTGATGTATCACATTGATTGATTTGCAAATGCAAAAAGCCCTGCAGTCCAGGAATGAATCCCACTCGAACATGCCGAATAATTCTTTTTATATGCTCATGAATGCAATTTGTTAGTATCTTGTTGAGAATTTTTGCATCCATATTCATCAGGGATATTGGCCTATAGTTTTCTTTTTTTTGCTGGGTCTCTGTGTGGTTTGGGAATCAAAGTAATGCTGGCTTCATAGAATGAGTCTGGAAGTTTTCCTTCCCTTTCTATTTTTTGGAATATCTTGAGAAGGATAGGTATTATCTCTGCTTTGAATGTCTGGTAGAATTCCCCAGGGAAGCCATCTGGTCCTGGACTCTTATTTGTTGGGAGAT